CGCCTCATGGCTGCATTATAGACGCTCCGTGTAACTCGAGTGCATAGGGCGTCGAATATATAAGCTGCGCCAACGTTTCTAAATTTGTCTCTTTTCTAAACCCTATATCGATGCTCTTTTCCTTGATAATCCTTATTTGAATTATTTTAAATTTACTCGTGTATATATCGATTATTGAAAATTCCTTTAATGTTATTATAGATACTTAAACGAATTTTTCAAAAGTATAATTCTTATTACTACTATACTTCTCAGAAAGGTCAAAGTAACATGTTTCGACGAAGTTTCGTAGAGCATCTGCTTGTCTTTGCTTTAATGACGCCCACGTATATCTCAACTGAAAGACACTTCTCCTTGGATATCTACTTGAGGCTTCAACCAAGTATCCTCGAAAAATTAGAACGGAAAAACGAAACTTTTACGCAAGCTCTATTATTGAGATGTAAAATAATACGCCTTCAAATTATTATATATAAAAAATAATATAATATAAAGTATAATAAAAGAGAGAAATGCTTTTGTGCATTCTCAATTTGATTTAAGAAATTTATTTATTCCTTATTTTTTTCTGTTAACTAGAAAACGATATTTTATCAGAAAACCGGATGACTGTCAAGAATCGACCTCCATATTTGATCTCTCTCGGGGAAATTCGTACAAACGTGGAATTTTCTAGAAACACTGGTTTGTCATATGCGAGCCGTCAAACCACAGATCGAGAAGCTACAAAGTTAACATATCGAAGGCTTCCACCGCTCGTTCGTCGGCGACAGCAGCGTTTGTTTAGGGCCCGATGGATTCTTAAGTAGCGGTACCCTTTGGCGTCGTGGATGCGTCCGCAGGTCCCCGACACACACGGTGCTGGCGGGTTTCTCAGGCAGGTCAGTGAAACTGCGCCGTCAAGTTGAAGGCCAACACCCCCACAATGCAACGGCCAAGCACCACCGTCGCTCTCCCCACCATATCGTTAGATCTGCCGCCTCTTCCTCCCGCGTGCCATCCATCCCTTTTCTCTTCCACCGTTGCCCCCTTCTAACGTAACCCCACTCGACACGCGCGCGAGCTATACAGTCGAGAAAACTCCAATAACTCGCCGATAACTCGCTGCCGCCTCCGTACAAATACTCCCTCGCAAAGTAGTCGCTTATCGCGTTGGAAACGATTCATCATCCCCCCCATTCTTCGTTCTACTTTATTTCTTACGCACCTGGGAAACTTCCAAAACTTCGAAACCACAAATTCTTTACGAAAAACAGTACCAAAAATCAAAACCCTTGTTACCGAAAAAGTTACATGTATATTATTCGAGATCATTAATTTCTCTTTGTCTCTCGACGCAGGGCATATTTTATAATGCACGAATCGCTATTGTGTACGAAGTGGACCGACAATTAACAATTTTTCTCTCGTTATCCAAAAACTATCCGCGTTGAAGCGGCATTACGTGAATGAAATATCCACTCGCATAACAGAGAGTACGCGAGAGACTGTGATTTTCCCTCTTTCTCTCTTTCTCTTTCTCCTTCTTCGGATAGTTCGGGCGAGGAAGACGTAGGAGCACGCGGTCATTCGTGCGTTGACCATCGGACAGTCCAGATCGGCGAGTGCCGGGTGCGCGCGCAGGTGTGGTAACGACCCGTTCTCGTCCATCTATCCGTCCATCGTCGTGTCGTCCCTTTCTCCTCTTTTCTCTCTTCTCCTTTCTCTCCCCCTAGAGAGAGATTTCCTCTTTCTCTCTCCCTTTCTCTCTCGCCCTCCCCCATTCTCCGCTCTTCTCTCTTTCTCTCTCTCTTCTACTGACCCCTCACGAAGGCCAGAAATTCCAGCCTTCTCTCGAAATAGATCGATGACACTCTCGACGACTAAGCATACGCACGCACGCATCGTCTCTCTCACTAGGCGCATTCTCTCTGTATGTTCTCTCCTTCTCTCCTCTTTCTCTCTCGAAACTAATGTCTCTGAAATAACCGAGGCGAGGCTCACTCATCGGACTGGGGAATAAGGTGCAACGCACGCACGCGTTCTCCACCAGCACGTTCTCTTCCTTCTCTTCTCTACCCCGCTTCTTTTCGCGTCCTTCTCCCTTCTTCTTCTTCTTTAATCACTCTCGCTTCGTCATCGTATCTTTCTCTCTCTCTCTCTCTCTCTCAGTTGGTCCCCGTTTTCCTTTCTCTCGCTCACAACTTGCTGGCTCGCAGTTGCAACTGCCGTCGCGCCCGACACTGTCTCGAATGGCAGTGGAGGTCATACTATATTAAGATTGAACTCCACTGACACCGCGGCCCAACGACGTTTGTTCTCCTCCTACTCTTTCCTTCTTTCTCTCTCTCCTTCTCCCTTCTCCTTCTGTCTCTCTCTTCCGCTTCTCTTTCTGATCACACGCCATGCACTCTTTTTCTTCAGGCTTGAGCAGCAATCCTCACAATAATACGTTCGTTCGAGAAGATTCTCGATGAGAGTCCGGTCGAGATCT